AGATGCTGGAAATTCCTAGGCAAGAGTGCTCCAGTTCTGAGCACATTTATGGCCCAGAGTCCTTTGCCACTTGATGTGAGAACAGGATGGCTGGCCAAGTCTGTAAACAGCCAATGCTCCGCCGACCCTTTGGTGATCTTTCTAGCTGTTTAACTTCGGCTTTGCTGTCATTTCTGCAGACCTGCAAGGGAGCATTTTGGTATGTGTATAAAGCACATTGTTGTATGGCCCCCAACCTGAATCTCCAGACCGGTGGTTAAGCATGCAGACTTCTGGTCTCTACCCGAGACCTACTGAACTGCAATGGGGATGGATGGATGCACCAAGACATAGGAATCTGCCTCATAAACAGATCTCCAGGGACTCTCAGGCACCTGAGCTAGAAAATCACTACAGTAAAGGAAGCATCTTTTACCTGCCAGCCCTGACTTCCTTGCCATTGTCTTCCCTCCAGCATTACCTCTGGCATCCTTTGGATCCCCAGGCAGAACAACCCTTATCTGTATTCTAGAGATCATCTCAGCTACTCTGTTTAACTGGTTTACTGGAGTGATTTTTTTTTTTCCTCTTCTGAGGCAAGCATCATTTCTGGGTCATTTTTAAATTCATCCCTAACATGATGTCTGGCACTTAGGATTCATTTAATGTTCACTGCACACATTGATCTTTGGTGTAATGCTGCACTTTGAGGAAATCTCAATTTGAAAGTACAGACGAGAAGATGTAATTAAGGCAGAGACTTGAGGGAGAAAGCACGTGGAGGGGCCAGGGAGCATCTTCCATTCTTGCCTCACCGTGACTCACAACATGGTCACCACTGCCAGTGTCATCACATCATCATCTTTGCCATCTGCTTTTTACTGATCACCCTGTGCAGGTACTGCATGAAGTACTTAACAGGCATTATCTCATTTAATCCTCACACTACTTTCCTCCTGTGCAGATGAGGAAACTGAAGGATGGCCTAAGGTTACGTGGGTATAAAATGGTCAAACAGCAGAGCTGGAGTAAGCACTTGGCTCAAACTCAGAGGCTAACGTTTAAACATGAATGATTAAAAGCACCTCTGTTGAAGAGTTTGCTCCTCTATTGATTGAGGTAGACCAAACCTTAAATCACAGGTGCCCAGCCTTTTTGGCACCAAGAAACTGGTTTTAGGGAAGACAATTTCTCCACAGACTGGCCTGGGGGGTGGTTTGGGGATGATTCAAGTGCATTATACTTATTGTACCATTTATTTCTATTATTAATCATAATGGGATAATTATACAATCATAGGGAGCCCTGGTCTTGTCTTCCTGCAGTAAGAGAGTCCATCTGGGAGTGATGGGAGGCAGCGGCACCACAGTGTGCTGCTTGTGTCCGTTCTACTTCATAATCCCCCTTTGGGCTGCCACTGGCCAGAGCTTGTCTAAGGTTACCACATCCTCCTTTTACATTTAAATGCTTTGACATAGTTTGGCATTAAATGCTTAAAGCACAATTGTAGAAAACCGCAGTGCCATAAATACTCATAGTGCCCTATAAACCAAAACTCATGCCAAAGACAACTCATCATATCTGGCTGTTGAGTTTTTACACATTGGTCATGTACTTTTAGAGAGCTGTCCCTATAAGCTAATGGAGTTTCCCCCTGTGGTGGTGGCTGGGGCTTTCCAAATATGTCCAGGTGTGTTTTGTTAATGATTTATAAATCCAAAAGAATTATTTGCCATCTGATGCAAAGCAAAGCCTTGAGGTTTATCAAAAAGGTGATCAGTGGCCTGAGAACCCACTAGCAAGGAGAGATGATAATGCTCCCTGGGGCTCCAAGAACAGGTGAGAAGAGTCCAGCTCTGAGGCTTTTGTGCATAACAGCTTCTGCTGCCAATGGAAACACCTAAGGAATGGCTGCCTTACATTTAGGAAGACATTTTAAGGTCCACAATTCACATTCAGGTAATATGGCACACATAAACAATCCTAGTATTCCATTTAGCAAAGGCTTAAGATGGAGATAGGCATAGAAAGTGAAAAGCATACCATGTGCCTGAGGGATATGTGAAGGCTTAAACGTATCCCCTCATCCTGAAATGTTGGAAACTTAATCTCCAAATTCATGTTTTTCCTGGTACCGGGGATCGAACTCAGGACCTTGAGCTTGCCAGGCAGTCACGATGCCACTGAGCTACATCCCTGGCCCTCCCAAATTCATATATTAATGGTGTCTGGGGGTGGGGTCTTTGGGAGGTCATTAGGATTAGATGAGGTCCTGAGGGTGAGGTTCCCATGGTGAAAACAGTGGCTTTATAAAAAAAGAAAAAGGAAGACCCAAACTAGTTGCTTGCTATGTCTCAGCATGCGGTGGCCTTCACCAGGTTATGGGGCAGCAAGACGGTGGCTCTAGGCCCTTTGACTTTCCAGCCTCCAGAGCTGAGTTAAATAAACCTCTACAGTATTCGTTATAAATCACCCAGTGTATGGTATTCCACTGCAGTAAGAGAAAGCAGACTAAGACAGAGTATCAGAGGGTCTTCTGTGGGTTGAGGTGCTTGAAAACAATTCCATGAAAATTTCAAAATGTAATATATATATATATATTTATTTATTTTGCCGTCAGCTCCAAGTTCAGTGTAGAGGAACAACAAAAATACTTCAAACACGTGGTCCTCACCCTCTGAACAATGTCTGAAATTGCAATGAGCGTATGGGTCACCCGGGGAGCTGGTTAAAATGCAGATTCCTGTACTCATCGGGAGTGACTGGAGGAAAATCCCTGGAGATACTGGGGCACTGCTATTTGTCCCCCTGGCCTATTATACTCAGTCCTCCTTATCTCAGCATTCTGTATTTGTGGATTCAACCAACTAAGGATTGAAAATACCTGAAAAAAATTGTATCTGTACTGAACATGTACTTTTTCCTTGACGTTATTCCCGAAACAATATATTTACACAGCATTTATATTGTATTAGATACTAGAATTAATCTAGGGATGAGTTAGAGTGTACAGGAGGAGGATATGCATACATCACATGCAAATATTATGCCAACTTATAGAAGGGACTGGAACATGCACAGATTTTGGTATCACGGCTGGTTATCAATCAGCTATAAATTGGTGGCTATCACAGCTTCTTTCCTGGCCAGAAGTTCTGTGGAAAAGGGCCAGAAAGCTGGAGGGAGGTGTGCCCCAAGGAAGTCAAAAGGCAATCCTTGGACCCCAGAACAGCTGCTAACAGGAAATAAAGTGAGGCAATGCAAGACTAGCTAAAATAAAGGCTCTGTCAGTCAGTGTCTGCGACCTTTCAGTGGATGTCATTTTCTTTCTCATAGATAGGATTTCACTTCCCCGAGATACTAAATCATGTGCATACAATGGATCCCACACTTTGAGATTTATTTTGGGGAACTCTTAAACACAATAGATTTATGATGGTTTGTGGAAATTTGCTCAGGAATAAAAAGCTGTGGATAGAACTGTGAGTGTAGTAATAGCTAACACTTTCAATAGGTTAGCGGCACCTGGAAGAAAAACAAACAGAAATCTGGCTTTGAGCTCATGTTACCCATGGGCGCTGTGGACCACATCATCCTCCTGTTGTGCCAAAGGCAGTGCTCTGTCTGAGCTTTCTGCACAAGGAACCTGGGCTCATGGTAACAATGAGAATCAGAAAGGTGCACGCTCACCAGGATTGTTTTCAGATGTCAGAATATAAAAAGACTAAAAAGTATAAGCTTGGAGGTGTGACTGATTAGGTGGCCAACTGGGAACAGGATTTGTGATCTGGATAAGCAAGACTGTCTGCCCATAGCAGTCCATACGGATAGATGCTTTCTTTTCTTTAGTGTGTGTGTGTGTGTGTGTATACTGGGAGACTGAACCCAGGGCTTCACACATTCTAGGCAAGTGCCCTACCGCTGACCTGTACCCTAACCTGTAAGATACTTTTCTTAACAGCAATTTGTATTTCATTTCTTGTCTAAGGGATGTAAGACAGACTAACTCTCATCCAAAATGCTCAAGAACCAGAAATGTTTTAGATTTCAGGGTTTTTCAGATTTTGAAATAACTTCCATACAGACTTTACTAATCCCCAAATCCCTAATCCAAATGTCCCTCTGCTAACCCAAAAATAGAGAATCTGAAAATTTTTGAGTGTACAAATTTTTGGACTTCAGAGCATTCTAGATGCTCAACCTGTAATATTTACTGTTTATAACCTATAACTGCTCAAATTAACTTGAACATTTAAGATCATTTCTTTCCATTTAATGAAGCTTCCAAACCAAATCACAGTGCTGCAGTTTTTACTTCAAATTGCAGTACAGTTAAGCACATTTATTTCTATGCTACAGGCCTTCGGATGATAGCCTACTTTTCAAAGATCAGCCTATGAATTCTGGGAAGAGTAGGGTGATGCCTGTTGGTTCTTTATTTTTTAAAAATTTTTTTGGTACTGGGGATCGAACTCGGGACCTTGTGCTTGTGAGGCAGGTGGCGGCACCACTGAGCTAAATCCCCGGCCTTGTTGGGTCTTTATTCATGATCTCCACTTAAATTTTGAACACTTGGTGTATTTTCAATGGCAGGAAACCAGGGACAAGTCTGATAAACTGGCCCTACAACCAGTTTTCTTATTTGAAAGAAGATACTTTTATATCATTTGTTTTTTTGCCAAATTAATAAAGGGCAGCTCATCCCAACTGGCTGTAGGTGATTAACCCTTGTGAAGGGTCTCTGCTTCTCAAGTGATTATGCACTTACTGTGTTCTAGCTTCACAAGAAATTATGTATTGTATTTTGTATTAAGGTCAAGTCAGTAGGCTGAATTTGTTTCTTTTGCAGTGTGAAATGATCACATTCATTGTAGGGAGTTGGTACCTGTACATAACACGTCTTAATTCTTTTTATTTCCCCTGTCCCTCCCCTGCCTCCCTCTGTCTCTTAGTAGTAGGGTCCCTCTTTTCTCATTTCCCCATGCCATAAGTAACTCCAACAGGAAAGCAAACTGAACCAGTTAGGAATTAAGCAGTCACATTTTAATCGATAAATATGAACATTTGTTAACCAGTTACTAGGTAAGGAAAATACACTAAAATATGAAGAATTCAAAAGATACTACCATCTTGAAAACAAAGTGCCCAAAATCTTTGCTATAAACTTCTTCACAGAATTAGAGGCAACAAAAACACTTACTCAGAATAATACTTGGAATAATTGTAAAAGTTCCAAGTATATTTTAACACTATAACAAATTATTTTGCACATGAAGTGGAAATGGCTCTTTTGGCACATAGTTAGATTATCTGACAACTTAATGAATAAATGATTGAATGGATGAATTGCTGAACATCAAGGTAATATGTTCACATGATGGGCCAGGCTTATATCCACTCCTTGATCTTCTGCTGCCTCGCTAGCCCTTGCTCTGTTCTGCATCACAGGAAACCACATTTCCCAGGGTCCCTAGCTGCCAGACAGGGATGGAATGGTAAGATGGCGGCTGAAGACGTGAGGACAGGAAACCCAAGGCCAGGGTATTTCTCGATGTCTGACTCAGCTCTGACATTGTCACCACCACAGGCAGTGGCTTTGCCCTTACCATGGCTCCATTTTGCACAATCCCTCAGTAGTCCTAGCTCCCATCAGGGAGACCCCACCATCATCCCAGTTTCGGTGGCTGATCCCAGCTGCTGGTTCAGGAGACCACACCCTCTCCCATTGTCCTCACAGTCCCAGGAGTGCCAACAGCCTTCTGCTGTCTGGCTTAAAAAAAATAATCTTCAATGAACTCAATTTCCTATATTAAATTCCCTCTATGGGAACACCTACAATGATTTCTGGTTTTTGGACCGGATCCTCACTGATATATGTTAGAGTCATTAGATTGTTTCCTCCTCTCACTTACCTGGGAATGCTTGCATAACAATCTGCCCTCAACCAATGAAAAATCACTCAAACTACACAATACAGGCCAATGACTATCTCTTCAGCTGTTTTTTGTCAAGAGTGAAGATTTGTTTTGCCAAGTGCCAATATGACTCCACTCCACCAATGTTATCACCAGTTACAGTGGACACAGCCACGAGTTTTCTCCTGAGGTCATTTCTGTTGCAGGTACTAAGTGCAATTAACAAAGTGAAAGAAATACAAACAGAAAAATTAACCTTAAGAGGAAATTACACAGTCATCAAATGAATAACATAGTAAAAAAGAAAAGGCTCTGAAAATTCAGAGGCCATAATTCAGCACCAGAATGTTTCTTCCCTGTTGAATCAATACAGTTTTCTGAAATTAAAATCTTACAACATTTCTGGATATTTCAAGAGCATCAAAATAGTAATAATGATCTGACTCATCCACAAATGGCCCCTAGCTTCTGGGCTAGAAGGAACAGTTACTTGCAGAAGTAGAGTTCTTTGGTGAGCATGGAGACCACGCATGGGATCTGCTTCTTCTCGTTGAAACGCGGGTCATCACACTGGGACTCAAAGTGCCTGGCCACGCTGTAGTTCACCCTGGTGAGGATCTGCATGATCTCCAGCTCTTTGCCATGCTTCTCCAGGATGGAGCAGAGAGCCTGCACAAACCAGGAACCTGTTCCCGGGTTCCTCCAAGAGTAATAGCCTTTGACGGGAAAGAAATAAGAAGCTCTGATGAGCTAACTCTGGTCGCTGCTCCCCACACCAATGAGAAGGAACTTGCAGTGTCTGGGGCCTTCACACCTGCTTTTCAGAAATGATTTCCCCCTACTCTGCATAAAAGTCACTAATGAGAATCATGGTGGTGTTCTGAGAGCAAACATCTCCGGTGGAAAGAACTTCATGAAGATGCTCAAAAGTACACTGGACATTCCAGCATGGAAATCCAGTAACATGCAACATCACTCAAGGCCAGGGCTGGTGGGTACTGCTAGAGAACTCTCCTGCATCTCTTTTGATGCAATCACCCCTGTAGTACCTAGGAGATACCTAAAGGAAAGTGAGACACATCTGCACAGGGGGATTTCCACAGGAAAGGTGGAGGACCACTCCACAACTCTCCAGCTTCTCAGCATCCTTTTGGAATGAGTGCTACTTTCTAACCCAAGCCTAGAAAAGAGCTTTGTAAAGAACCTCAGAAAAATCTGAGACGTGTTCTTGCTGTTCGGCAATAAAGAAGAAATGTAGAGGCAAAAGGTTCTGAGTAACTGAGGGCTGAGGCAGGACAGCCTGCTGCCTGGGGGGGCTGGGAGTGTCAGGGGAAGGGACGTGTCTCTCGTGAACCACATATGGTCTATGGGATGGAAAGATGGCTCTTGGGCTATCCTGGGTCCTGGTCAAAAAGTCTTCTTGAAGGGGCAAGAAGAGCTCAGGAAAAAGAGGATGCTCATGGGTCTGGGGGATGTTCAGGAACTGAGGGAGGAATGGAGGTATACTGAGAATTCCTTCCTGCAGCCCACAGCACTGGCAACTACCCTCATGAGGCCCGAGCTTGATGCTGTAACAGTATGACAATGCATTCATCTTTAGGGGGAGTCAATTACACTGCCTCATTCAGTGCAGGGACCTGGTAAGGCTGGGCAGACACTATCATCTCCCTGGGCTGTGCCCTCTGACCATTCTCCTAAAAGGGCTGCAAGGTGACCATTCAAAAGGGCAAATGGCATCCTATGACTCTGTGACTGAAAAGAGTTTCTTTGCCTATCTTTATCAGGGTGAAGTTCAGGCTGCTTAGCATTGCACACAGGGACCACAATATGGTCCTTTGCCTGCCTGTTCAGGTTTGACCCGAGCCATACCCCGTCACATGCTGTGGTATGGACTGAACTGTGCCTCCCTCTTGAAATTCACATTTGAAGTCCCAGCATCCAACGTGACTGCTTGGAGACGGGGCCTTTAAGGAGGTAATTAAGGTGAAATAAGGTCACATGGGTGGGACTCTGATCCAAAGGATGAGTGTCCTTACAAGAAGAGATACCAGAGCATTCATTCAGGCTTGTGCTCACTCACTCCCCTCCAGCCTTTCTCTCATCATAGAAGACGGCTGGTTACAAGCCAGAAAGAGCCCTCACAGGAAACCAAACCGGCCAGTACCTCATCTTGGGCTTCCCAGCTGCCAGAACTACGAGAAAAAATGTCTGCCGGTAAAGCCACTCACTCCGTGGTATCTTGTTCTATCAGCTGGGGCACCGATACATAACATTCTACAGTTGGGCCCTGAGTTTTACCAAACACATTGGGCTATTTGAGCCAGAACTGGCTGTCAAGCCGCCCTTCTCTGCCTCTGTGGGTGAATTTTCAAGACTCAGTGGCAGCAGTTCCTTTTTTAGGAAAATCTCTGTCATCTGCCTCCCTAGAAGAGTTTATTTTTCCTGAGTTCCTTCAGACCTTGCTCAGGGTACCTGTATCTCCACCACTGGGCTTGTTAATATCGGTCTGTTTCACAAGATCGGGAAGACCAAACTGCTTTCTATCTCATACAATCCTTAAAACTTGTGCAGTTACTGTTCTCGCCAAATGCCACCTGCAGATCCTACCAGAACTGCTTTTTCCAAACACACTGACCTATTCCCAGGAAGCGCTTGCCAAAACTGCTGTCACAGCTAGCAGAGTTCTAACTTAGTGATGGCTTGTGCCTAAAACAAAGGAAGGACTCTCACTGAACAGACCTAGGCGAGGACAGTGCTTGGTAAATAACGGGTGACACGTTCACACGGCAATTCCTGGCTCCTGCGCACAGGCAGCAGGGTAAAGGACCCTGGTCTGAGCCACAGCTCGGATGTCAGGCACTGAAACCTCTGTCTGACTCAAGCTTATTTATTTTTCCATCTGTAAAATCAGGGCAGCAATAAAGCCTTCCCTAACTACCCACACAATTACTGTAAGGATGATGACATAAGGGAAAAGACCCCCCCCCAACACTCAAGTTATAAAGTACTATAGAAATGGGGTTTTTTTACAATTACTATTAATAATAGCAATAACAAATGAGATAATTCTGCTTTTCTGTAAAGAAAAGTGAATATATCCCTATGGAAGGCAGAATAATGGTCCTGAAATGCCCACACCCTACCTGAAACCTGGTACTATGTTACCTTTTGTGCACAAAGGACTTTGTAGGTGTGATTAAGGTTACAGAACTGAGACGGGGGATGATCCTGCCAGGCCCAGGTGAATCACCAGAGACCTTTCCTGGCACTGGCCAGAAAGAGACCGGAATGTGACGACAGAGGAAGAGTCAGAGGGAAGTGAGGTTGATGGTTTTAAATGGAGACAAGGGCAGCAAGCCAAGGAATATAGGAAGTTCTAACATACTGGAATAAAAAGGAAGAAATGAATTACCCTCTAAGCCTCCAGAAAAAGGTAGCCCTGTCAGTTCATGTTGGTATTTTAACCTTCAGACTGCAAAATAATGCATTTATGATTATGATTTAATAAACTGTGAGGCACAAGTTGAGTATCTCTTATCTAAAATGCTTGGGAGCAGAAGTGTTTCAGGTTTTAGAGCTTTTAGATTCTGGAACACATGTATAGACTTTAAGGGTTGAACATCCTTAATAAGAAAATGCCAAATCTGAAATGCTCCAAAATCCAAACTTTTGCAGGTAATTCTGGCACTCCAAGAGTTGTGAATTTTAAATCATTTCAGATTAGAACACTGAAATTGTAATTAACTACTACAGCCATAGGAAAATATGACAAACAGCAAGCCTGCAGCTGGATGGCTGAAATGGACTGGTAAGGTTAGCAATGGGCTGGATACCTGGAACCGTGGAATAAGCGAAGAGAAAGTCAGCTTCCACCGGGATCTTATAGTGTGGGTTAACATCGGTGTCACCGATGGGGCCTGAGTCAGCCTGGATCCCATCATCGAGCTCCGTCCCTCGGCAAGCCTGAATGTCAAAGCAAAGATCACTCATGGAGTCAGAAACAGAAATGCTGTTCTCTGCTGTGCGTCAGGGGCACAGGACGCGTGTGGCACATACTAGGAGCTCAGTGATTGTCTGGTGAATGAATGGTGAATCGAGCTACTAATCAGAGCAAAGCACTGCATTGCAATGTGATACAATGTTAACACAAATGCCAACCATTTACAGACGGGAAAAACAACCCCAAATTTGCATATCCCAATAGGAATAGAATGGAGATTTGCAAGGTTGATGCCAGCCCAAGTTACTCTGTGGTCTTTTCCCATTTTCCACTATCCTGGCTTTGAAAAGTGATTACCTGAATGAAGAAGAGTTTGGGTTTCTCTAAAAGGGTTTTGCATCGATCGCCCCGAAAATGGGCTGTCAAATCCTTTATTGGTGTACTGCCATCTTTTCCATAAATTAAATTTTCCTCTCCATGGCTTAACAAGATGCAGGCGAAGCAGGCTGAATTGGTGTGGTCCTCCTCAGAAGCTGCAAGCAAGCAACGTGCACACAGGAACATTCAAACTCGGGTCCTGTGGGGCTGTAGATGCAGCGCTCTGCAGGCAGCCTTGGCCGTGCCGACGACCATGACAAGACGGGCCGGGAGGGCCCGAGGAGGGGCAGGGACCGGGCTTCTCTGGAAGACGGGGCTTTGTTTGGATCACCCTCCGAAGGGGACGAGGACGAGCCCCAGTGAAGACAAGGCAGAAGAGAGTTCTGCCATTCTTACTTGCTCTGAAACCAGGACGAGGTAGTCTCGCGAGGAGTGACCCCAAGTACCCGGATGGTCCAGGAGCGGTGGGAAGGCAGTACACTGGGGGCAGGAGGGTGGAGCCCCGCTGTCCCCTAGCTCTGTGACGCTGGGCACGCTACTGCTAGCAGGCTGTCCCGTGTCTCAGTTTCCTTGTCTGTAAAGTGGAGGCGGTAGCACCCACTGAATGAGTTAGTATCTGTAAAGTGGGCCACATACTAAGCGTCATGCAAACAGTTTTGAAGAAAATAATACATTTTCCCAAGTGAAACAAGCCAGTCACAAAAGGACAAATATGGTACGGCTGCTTTGAGCAGTCAAGTTCACGGGGAAAGAGGAAACAGGGGAGTTCATGTTTCATAGAAATGATGGAAGATGAAAAGGTCTCTGGAGACAGACAGCGGTGATGTCTGCACAGCAATGTAAACTCAATTACTTAAGAAGAATTAAAGTGGTAACTTTCATACTGTGTCTAGTTTACCACAGTAAAAAATTTTTTGAAAAAGAAAGGCAAGAGAAATGCTAGACTGGCTGTCAACCCGGACACTGCGAGAGTATCCGCAGCCTCCACTGCTCCTTGGCTTGGCTCCAACTCATCTAAGGTTCTATGATGCTAACTAACTAGCTGGTTGACTATTTAGCTAACAAACACAGCCTTTCTTTTTCTGTGTGATCAATGGAGGAGGCGGAGGAAGATTTAGAATTTCATGAGCACCTACTATTTGTTGATACCCAGGTTCTTTGTGCAAATTATCTTATTTAACCCCAACAGGACCCCATAAAGGAGGCTTTAATTATTTTTATTTCATGATAAAAAATGAAAACTCAAGAGTGCGGTTATAACGTTGCCCCAAGAAGGGACAATCCGTTGGGGCCTTGGTGCCAGGCTTCAAGTGTGGTGCTGCCTTGCCCTGCTCAGCAATTGCAGGCAGCAGACCCAGCCTCTCCCCTTCTAATTGCTGCGACACCTGTGCAGAGCTGTACGGTGATGTCTGTATTTGTTTTGATAACAGACACAAGTCATGGCGATGAAAGCTGGAAATTCCTAGCTTATTATAAGATTGGGTGAATTAGCACAGAGTGGGGAAATGAAGTTTTGTCCTCCCTGGAACCTACTGCAGCACAGAGTCAAGAAAAGTAACTGCTTTACCGTTTTGACAGGCTAAGAATCAAGAATTCTCTGAGGGTGACATGCTCTGAGCTTGGGTAGAATAATTCACCTTCTCGGGAACAGAAATGACAGCTGGCCCAAGCCCTGAGGTAAGGCCCAAGTACTTCTCAAAAGCATGCTCACAAATCTTCTCTCAGCTCATCCTCCCTCCAACCCTAAGAAATAGGTAGAGCTAGGATCATGGCCCACATTTCAGGAAAGCAAAGAAATCAGGAAGATATGGCTGCTCTGCCTGGGTCACCTCACTGTTGGAACTGGGCCAGACCCACAACGTGAACTCCTGATTTCTAGTCTGTTCTACCACATGGCCTGCTAGGTACAGAAATTCAGCTTGGAAGAGTCAAGTTTGAAAACACTATGAAAAGGTGCCTAGTTAAAAAAAATAAGAGGATAAGATCTTTTTGGGGGCTGGGGATTTAGCTCAGTGGTTCCAGCACCTGCCTTGCAAGCGCAAGGTCCCGAGTTCGATCCCTGGTACCAAAAAAAAAAAAGATCTTTTTCTTTTTTAGCTGCACAACTAAGAAAGCAACAGTGAACCATCTGCTGCCTGTGGATCCCTGTCTGATGAACTGGGAGGACTTTACTTTCAAACATCTGCCCTGAACACCGGCACACCAGAGCTACAGCGCCAGATGGTGTAGTACAGACATGCATCAGTCCTGGAGTTGGAAAATGAGAGCTTGGGTTCCGGTTCTGCTCCTAACTGGCTCTTCAGCGTGTCTCATATCCTCTCTGAAGCTCCATTCCTACATTTATAAAATGGACATGATACAAATGCCTTTGACCAGCATTGTAGGGTTTGTGTTAAGGGTCTAATGAAATAAAATCACAGATGTGCCACACAGAATATAAAGCAGTTCCCCAGAATACCATATAGGGATTAGTCTTCTCTACCTGCCACCAGGAATACTTTAGTTACCTAAATTTCATCCTGCACAAGAGGATACAGATTTGTTACTTCCCTTGGAATCAGCCTTTTGGGACTGAGATCGTTCTGCACATACAGAACCTTTTGTTCTTGCAGGAATTCAAGCTGACTTCATCTTTTCACAGAGATACCAATGTCTCGTGAAAGAGGCCTGTCTCTCCCAAGACAGGTACAGAATGGCCAGAGGAAGAAAGTCTGTCCTGAGAAGGCATCCTTCTCAGACCTCTCGGTGCAGGGCAGGGCGGAAGAGCAGGGTAAGTGCTCACCTCGTTTAAGCAGATCTTGCATCTTGGCACAAGTGCAGTCATTATAAACAACCACATCAAAACCCAGGCTTCGGAAACACTTGAAAAGGGCCTCAGCATCTTTGTCGGTTCCATTTCGGACACCCATTCCTGTGGGAATCGAGCAATGCATCTACAGGTTATCATCAGGTTAGATGCTGAATGCAGCCAGCGCCAGCTCCAGCAGGAACGCTCTGAGTGCACGGAATACCTCCGAGGTCACAATGTAAAGGAGCAAATGAAACGAGAAGGAAACTCAAGAGAGGGGACTCAGCCCACCCACAAGAGGTGAACCTCTTCATGGTAACTCCCAGGCCCAATCAAAGCCAAACGGATCCCTCGATGCTTAGCTCCTTGGTCAAGATGCCTGACAGCTAATATGCAGTGGGACCTCAGACTGACAGTCCTCAGTTTCTCTGCACCCCTTTTCCCTAGACGTAGGGGCTGTCTGCAGGTGGGCCCAGCATTTCTCAGTGAATGTCTGATACAAAACAGAGGAAATGGAAGGCTTAGCCCAGGCTCACAGTGCCTACCTGTCACTTTGTCGAAGTTCTTGTTGTTTATTATGACGCACTTGCCCACCTTCTCGAAATTCATGTTATACTGATACACAGGCACCTGGTCCCGGGGGGTCCTGGCTGGGCCTGTAGAGCCATTCTTCTTCTTCTTACTAGGGAAATACACAGCCGGTTAGGGTAAGTCTGACAAGAGGGGCCTCCGAGCCCAGGCAGGCCGTGGGGTGAGGGTCTGGGCTGCACAGACAGCTCTGTGTAACCGGAACAGAGTTCTATGGTAAATTCTGTTAGATGTCAGAGAAATGCAAACTGAAATCACAGTATGACACCAGCACCCACTCCCAGGAATGGCTACAGTGTGAAAGAAACGGAGTGCTCAGCACCTGAATGATCACATGTTGCTGGTGGGACCTACCCTGCAATCCACTGGGGAAAATGGCAGAGTCCATGAAAACTGAGCTCACACGCACCCCGTGACGGGGCCACCGGCCTGACATGTTCACCAAAAAGCAGAGCCACTTGTTTCCGGTGTTGTCGACCCGTAACAATAATCCCCAAAGGAAATATTCCATATGGCTAAACTGCTGAATATTCATGTAATGAAATACAACAATGCCAATAAAGAAACCATGACAGTGGAGAGTAGCATAAATGAATCTCACAAATACACTGTAGTGAAGGGCCAATGCACAAAAGGACACAGAAAAATTAACAAAACAAAGACCTCCTACTAGCTAGTCTGGATGGTGTTTCCACATTGGAGGGACAGGGTCTGGAGGGAATAAGGACTCTCCAGTGTGGCTCATAATTCGTTTCTTGGCATGGGTGCTGGTTACTGGCACGTGTAAAAATTCATGTTCGTGCACTTGTGTAAGTGTTATAATTTAATTACATCTATATTAAAAGAGAAAAAAAGGAACAGAAATTTAAAAAGAAAGCAGGTCTCTTCCACTCTCCCATCAACTGGTGGTACAGTTTGCCAAAAGCCTGGCAGGCAGAGCTTATGGCATGAGCACCAACCATCATGGGGAGGCCACAGAATCAAATGTCCAGTGAGAGGGGAAGCAGCCTAGTAGGTTCCATGCCGACGTGAGCTCCAGGAGCAAAGCGAGTTTTATCTTTTCTGAAACCACTGAAGTCTCAACACATAGAACGGCTGGCACATGAGGTGCTTAGTGGATACTTATTGTAGGAATGAACAAGCCAGTTGAATCTCACCCCCTCACGTACAGATATGGAAGCAGAGGCCCACAGGAGGCAGGGGGCTGTCCACACCACACAGCTACTGAAGGGCCCGGCAGCCCTCAGACCGGCACACTGGAGCTGGGGAACACTGTGCCCTAGACTGCGGGCTACAAGGGTCATCTGTCGTCCTCCCTCAGCTCACACTTAAGGGTGGGGAGGCAAAGTGAAAGTGAAAACTCAGTATCTACCAACAGACAGACTCGGTCCAAGGACACTGCCCTTGGGTTTCCATCCGCTCTTATCTGTCGGTTTCTCAGAATCTCTGAAAGGACAGGGGCGTTCCCTTTGTCCTACCTCAGTCCAGGTTACAGATTAGCTCTGTGGGACTAACCTTCCCAGTCCTTCTTGCTATTTTTCCACTTCAATGTGACTTTATACCACCCTACTTTTATAAGGTTACATTTCTTCCATGATGCCACTTGATCTTTAACAGAGAACTATCCCGAATCCGTTCTCCTGCCTTGGGGCGCCTCCCTGCTTTGGTTAGGTTTTCAGGGTGATACGAGTGGCTTCACACTCCTAACCCCAGGCAGTCAGCACCCAGGAAAGATGGACTTGGGGTGCGTGACTGGGGCAGTGAACTGCTACCCTTTGAAGAGTGCTGACTTCCTCTCCTGTGAAATAGAGCCAGCAGCATGCAGCAGGGGCAGCTTTCTGTGACTCACAAAGTTAGATGAGGGGTGCGGTGCCAGCAGGTACTCCCTGTAGGGGAACCCCTTCCTGCTGTCTGGACTTATATGAGTTTTACCACAGTGAGTCTGTTTTGTTCAAGGACAGGCCACGCGGAAGTAGGATTTATTTCCTCACTGCCACCCTGTCGATGACCCTGTTCAGTGTCCACTGTGCATGTTAAATTTGTGTGCCCAGCCTCCCATGGACACACACAACCTCTGGTCTTGGGACAGATGCCTTAGAAGTAGGTAGGGGACACAATTACAATTACAGTTACAGGTAGCAATGAGAGAAATGAACATCTACCAGTCTCTATCATGGTCTTGTAGAAAGTCTCACTGAATTCTAACAGCAACTCAAAGAGGGCAGTGGATGTCACCATAACCCCATTTAAGGCTGAGCAACAGGGGCTTGGGGATTTCAAGTGGCTGGAGGATGAGCCAGCACAGCAGGTCCAAATCCAGGAGGAGAGACCTTCAGAAACCCTCCTTTCACTCACTGGGCACTGGTGACCTTTGGGGGAAATGGCAAGCGGCAGACCTCTGGGTGAAAAGCCAGCTGCAACAGGCCACCCGCCTCCAGAGAGGCCACTGGTGCTCCCCCCGGGACCACTCAGCCATCCATCTGGGGAGCTAACCGGAACGTGCCACCGTCTCAGAGCTTCTGTTTTCTCACTGATAAAAACTGGCCTAGTTATCACTGTAGGATCAATGGGATTGGCATGTGAACCGTACAACACTCAGAATAAATGCAGCACACTTATGTATCCATTCCTTACCAGTACCTGCCACCTACGGGCCAGGGCTTTACAAAACCACTGCCTGTCCCCAGAGCAATGCGGTGCTGTGCAGACAACAAAGCTGAAGTTCAGAGCTGGGATGGGATGCTTGGTGATCCAGCTTCCCAGTGTATGCTTTCTCCACTACGCTGTTTATTCTTTGAGCAAACACCGTCTCTGACATAAAAATTCAGGACAGGCCTGAACTCATCTGCTGCGTTACTTTTGGGGAACTTAAAGGAGAATCTGTGAGCATTCTTAAATGATGGTAGCTTCAGGATGGGCTACCAGCCCAGAATGCACTCAGCATGCTCCCCAACCTTTCAGAAAGTATCAAAATGGGCTAAAAGGAAAGAAAATTGAATAGGCAGTTTTTAACACATCAAGTGTATTTTGGAGCAAGATTCCTGGGTCTTATAGCTACCTGAAGGCCATTCAGAGACCCTAAGAGATGCAGTATGTCTGGCAGGGTGGAAGCTGTATTTTATGCACTACAATTTTTGAAGAGATAAAATTCTTCTTCTGAAATGAGGACCTCTAGGACAACGTCCAAGTAATAAACAAGGTGTGGGTTTTTAAAGCTGCCAGGAGCTCCTTCTCAGTGATGAGCAAATCAAAACCAGTAAGCATGTTTTATAAGAAAAACAGGTTTGGATGTACGTTATATGAAAATTAAAAGGACTTTGCCTCTATCAGAATAAAATTTGGAAAAAATGACTACTAATTTTTTTTTTTTTTGGTACTAGGGATCAAACTCAGGACCTTGCACTTTCCAGGCAGGCGGCAGCACCACTGAGCTAAATCCCCCACCCAACTACTAATTTTTAATTAACTAAAATTAACTTGATTCAAAAAAAGGAACACTTTAAAGAAAACACTGCCCATGATGATGAAACTAGCTCAAAATGGAATGTGAAGTGCAATTCTTATCTTTGGAAGTATCTCAAAAGGGTGGTAAGGACAATTTCCCTTCTCTAACCTGCTCCTAAATTGAATTCCTATTTTTCAAAATGATTTTAATATCTGCTTCCCTTTTCTGGATTTGAGTCAGTCAATACTAACATTCCCTTCTAACTCAAAACGCTTTTTATTAAACCCAGGTTTTCCCAGACCACAAATGTGTGTTAGAGAGCGATTATCAATCCGATCCCACTGAATTTATCTTCTTAAGAGGAGCTGGCCTGGGGCAAGCAAATCAGGGTGATCAGCTTAGAGCATGTAACTGAAGAGACAACTAAAAGGAGGAAATGATGGTCAGGAAGGCATCAAGAAGGAATAACCAGGAGAAAAAAGAGGAAGAAAGATTAAATTCCACTGTACAGAGATATATTCTGCAAGGATGAATCTAGGTTACTCCACCACCTAATAGTTCTGAAGTTTTGGGGCACCTTCTCTGTCCTGGGGATTGTCTCCCTTTCACTGGCATTCTCCCATTGAGACTTCAGTATGTGCCATGTTGGTAGAAAGTGATCGCCCATCCTTTGCCCTTGTCCTATGGCCATCTTTGACTGGTCTGGGGCTGCCAGATCCTAGGCTGGGCCCTCTTCCAAACAGCCCTCTTCCCTGGGAATCTGAAAACTGGAACTGAGGAACAGGGTCAGCCTCTCTAAGTGGCTACAGTGAGAATTGTTGGTGGTCATGTTTCAACAGGAACCTGGATGTAGGCTGCCAAAGAGCCGGCAGAACCAAGCCAAAGATAAATCAGTGTGGGAGTAGGAGAGAAGAGCAGCTAATGTTTGAGGTTCCTTGCAGCCTAAGTGTTCTTTTAAAAAACATAAATCAGGGGCCAGTGTATAGTTCAGTGGTAGAATGCTAGCATATATGAGGCCCTGAGTTTGATCCTCAGCACCAAAACTCAAAACAAACAAACAAAATAACCCAAGTTAGATTCCAGCAAGCTGTTTAAAACTCCACTCCAGGATTCCCAAAGGCCCCGCATGGTCCCCCTCTGGCCTCTCTGCTCCTGTTCCTGGTGCAGGGTCCCCTACACAGGCTGCCTCCTGATGACTGCTGGTGGAGGCCTGGGGGGCACAAGACCCAGGAAAGAACTGCTGGGCTCATGCCCTGCTCAGCTGGCTGCTGCCCAGCTCTGTCTGTGTAAGCAGCAATACGAGTTCACTGGGCATCTCACTGCTGGCCTGGGCAGGATCCCAGAAGCCCCAGGCCATGTCACCTCCTGATCTGACATCGTGGACTCTTACTTGGCCTCCAGGTTTTAGTTTTGCCCTTGGAGTCATTTCTTAAAAGTGAGCTTTTAAATACATTTAAAAATGATAAACCCAATCACATTAGTTCCCTGCTCAGAGCCACAGGGGTTTCCTGCTGCTAAGAAGGAACTCCAGAATCCCAGCCACAGCCCCCAGGGTCTACAGAAGTGACGGTGCATTATCTCTTCCCACTCTTTCTTTCCCTGACTCATCCCACCCCAGACAACCAACCACAAACTCGTCTGGCCGTGGG